CAACCTCGGCCCCCCTGCGCAGCAGTCTTGGCACAGGTTGCAGACACAGAAGCTGTGCAGTCTTGCCCCCCAAATACTCTGTCCTCTGCTGGCCCATTTTTGCAAGAACCTGGCTCTGTTGCCCTCCGATGCCTATTCCCAACCAAACTCAGCTGGTACACCCGGTCCAGAGGGCAGGTGCACACACCCTCTCTCCGCTGCTCACCCAGCCCAGGGCTCTGAACCCTGGCTGGGCTCGGGCCTCTGGCCAGGCTTCTCCGCACCACTTCCCAGGAAAGGTCGGAGTCTCGGCTCAGGGAGAACTGCTTCCAGGGGAACTCTGAGCACAGACAGCCCGCTTGTGGGGAGAATTGGGGGAGTTACAAATCTCTCAGCCAGAACCTGCACAAATGCTGAATTAATGTTCCTTAACTCAGAGGCAGAATCCATGCACCCCACCCCACCGACCTCCAAGCACAAAGTCCTTTCTGTGAGGGTGGGATTCGCGTGGTCCAGGTTTGTGGATGTGTGTGTCATCCTGGCCTCTCAGGAGTGAGTCCCAGGTTTTTTAGAGATTCCGTGAGCGGGAAAATGTGAATAAAAAAAAAGGTTTTCCCATCAGTACTATGCTTTTGTGCAATTAAATCTTCTAAATGCACAGAACCTTCTGTACAAAAATTAGTGTTCCAAAATAGATGTCCTTTTTGCAAACTATTCAACCATAGTTTCCAGCTAAACATCTAAATTCTTCAGCACACTTAAATAAGGTTTAAGCTGTTTGAATTTTTTATTTTCCAGGTATCTTCAGAAACCTGACTATTGATTACATATTGAAGGTGCTCGAAGGGCCCTTGTGAGCTTCTTTTAGGATGTTCAGGTAAAAATTAAAACATGCAAGAGAAAGCCCTTTGATAAGTATAAAGCAACAGCTAATGCTAGATATTATAAATATTGAATATAAACTGTTGAGTATGTTGCCTAGGATTTGCTTCACAAAAATGGGGCGAGAGGGGGGAGGAAATAAAAGAGGCAGGAATCACCTAAGGAAACAATAGTTGGAACTGGATGAGGCCTAGGGAGGGCTTCACCACACCTGTTCTCCTCCTGTTGTACATGTTTGAATTCTGTATAACAGAAGTTTAAAAGCAAAGCTAGGTGGAGTTTTGCACGTTAGAACCCTAACCCTTCTTCAAATTATAGGTGACGGAAAACGGTCCAGAGAGGCTGAGTGACCTTCTTGAAGTCACACAGGCAGCTGCAGATCCAGAAGCCAAAACTGTGAACTCCTGGTCTGGGCTCCTTCTATGGCCCCACACCAGGCCTCAAGCAGAAGTGGGTTCCTCTACCCACTCACTATCCCGAATGACATCCCCCTGTGCCCCAAAGGATGTAAATCCCCAGGTGTGTCCCAGAGCAGCTTGGGAGTGGGGCAGTGCAGAACACATCTGGAGCTACAACCAGCGGAGCTGGGGCCAGAGCCAGAAGACTCTGGGCTCTTTCCACTCCAGGCAGTGGCCTGGGTAGGCCGGGAGGTTCTCCCCTGGCCTGCTTGTCACTGACACCTGAATCCAGAGAGCCAGGGAACCTGACCTTGGCCTGTGAGACTGCTCTTTCTGCCCCCCCTCCCCCACCCAAGTCTTCCAGCCCACCTCCCTCCTGCTGAAAGACTGGGGCTCTGCACCAGGAGATTCTGGGCACCCACAGGGTCACAGAAGTGGATTGGAGGTAACTAACCCACCCCAGGTTGGGGGGAGTGCAGGGAGGGATGGTGGAGGGTAGACTTAGGGGTGTGGAGAGGCCTCTTCCCCAGCAAATAAGATCCATGTCTGCGAAAGGGAGCAAATGCTGCTGGGGGACCAGGCCTTGCAGAGTCTGCTCAGCCAGGGTCCCCTGGACTGCAGAGGAAGGTGGCTGTGTGCCAAAGTCCTCCTGACTGACCGCTGGCAAAGGGGGGAGTGGGCATGGTGCCAAGAGCCTCAGACGCAGAGACACTCCAGTTGGAAGCGCCCCAGACCCAGACAGATGGTGGGGCAGGAAGGGAGAACTACCCTAAGCCCCAGGCAACACTGGCACCCTAAATCCCCTGTCACATTCTGGGACAAGAACACAGGTGATGTGGTTGGATTGGGTGCCCTGGCTGGACCACTTGCCCCCGCCAGGGCCCAACCGTCTGAACCCCTGGCTTGCCTCTGCTCCCCGCACTCTGGTCCCTGAGCTCGGGGATCCGTCAGAGTCCCCCCCTGCCACGGTCGGGGCTCTCCATGTCCTCCCCCACCTCACCCACATGCGCACATCACCTTCAATTCCCTTTTAGGTGCAACCTGCCCCAGGCGTGTACTTTACCTCCATGAAAACCCCAAACCAGCACCAGGTAGCTTACACCCCTTGGTGCAGACCCCAACACTGTACCCTGAACTGACATCCCAGGAGACTTCCAACTCTACAGACCGGAAGCGATGGGTCCCTTAGTCCCCACGGCCCTGGCCCCTCACCCCCCCGTGGCCCAGGCACCCGCCCCGGCCCCGACAGGCTCACCATCTCGGCTGCACGCGTCTCTAGCTCGTCTCCTGGCCCGGCCTGCCCTCCCCAACTGCTCCAGATACAGCCGCCTCCGCCGTTGTGACATGCAGGGCGGGAGGGGGCTGGGGACAGACATGCTGGGCCACCAGCTGCTCTCGGGCATCACAGTGGCCAGGGAGGGCGGGGCCGGCGGGTCATAGTGGCCCCGCCCTACCCCGCGGGGCCCCACCCCTGCCGGCCTCACCCTCCGCGGCACAGCGCAGGCTATTTCCAGAGAGCGCGACTGCGGAGACAGGCCGGGACAATCCTGCTGCTTAGCGAAGAAATGCGGAATGCCGTTACAGACCAAGTGTCTGTCGCCTCGCACTCCCATTCTCGTCCTGCTGCCGGCGCTGGTCGCCCCTGGAAGGGCTGGCTGGGCGCCAAAAGCACCTGGCTGGGGCTGGGTTGGCTGCCCTCGCCCTTGACTCCAGCGAGCAGGGCCTGGGGCACAGACGGCGGGGTGGCGCAGGGCTCCGCCAGAGGGGAGGGGACAGGCTGTGCCCAGCTCCACGGCCACTGAGCTCGGGAGGCGTTAGCAGCGGGCCTCGCACCTGTGCTCTGGAAGCCTGCTTCTCCCGCATCGAGGCCCACCTCGCCATCGGCAAGTTAGGGGATGTAACGTACATATAAAGCCGGTGCTCAGTACTTGAGCCGCTCCTGTTCCCACCGCCTTATGGGGTGCATCAACCCTCCATCATTATTTCTAAATCTGGATTTTTAAAATACCAGGCAGGGACTTAGCTCACAACCCAGGCATATAACCTGACTGGGAATTGAACCAGTGACCCTTTGGTTCTCAGGCCCACGCTCAATCCACTGAGCCACACCCACCAGGGCATTTTTATGCAATTTTAAATATTTAAAAAAATATATATGTGTTGCTTTAAGACAAGAAGCACTTGTTTTATCAAGAGGCCAACACGACTCCATCCCAGAGAGCACCCAGACAGATTTCGTAGACTGCTGGAGGTGCGGACCCACTGCCTTCGGTTTGGCTTCCTCCTGGTCCAAGACCAAGGTCTGCACAAGAAGGAAAGGGAGGGCCCCCCCACCCGTCCCCTCTCAAAGTTCCACAGAGGGTGACAGACAAGGCCTTGGTTGGCCTGCAGGAAGCCAGAGTGGAAGGGCCACGGTTGCAGCAGCCCCTCCTGTGGGGGCCAGTGCTGGGAGCCCTGCAGCCCAGAGACTGTCCATGAAGGACAGGCACAGTGGTGGGGTGGTGGCCAAGTCCTGCTGTTCCTGGCCTGCTTTCCTCCTTTGGCTGCTTCCTCTGGCAGATTTAACGAGTGGCAGGGGCTACTTTAGTGCTAATGCATTCCCAATTTAGAAATCACCGACCTGCAGGGCATGAGAGGCCTGCTCCTACCTCCCCACTGTGACTACCAGGCAGGCTGCACAGACCACTCTGCTTGCCAGGAAGCAGCAGGAAATGCATAGCTGTCACCTTAAACTTGGGGTGGCTGAGCTTCTGAGCTTAGGAGAGGGCGGAGAGGTTCTGATGTGGTATATCTCGCCACACAATGGAAGCCTTGTAGGTCAAAGAAACCGGGAGTTCCACGGGACCCGATAAGGTGCAGGTTACCCCACATTATTTTGTACGTGTTACAGTAGGTGCTGTGTGTGTAAAAGGAGGAAACTCGCAAGATGGGAGATTAGCTCTAGAGGGGTAAACAGACTGGCCACAGCCGTGGCCTCAGGGCCAGAAACAGGGGTGTGGGGTGGGGGTTCTGTCCATGAATTCCCTTTGGTAACTTCTGAACTCCTACCATATATGTGACTCAAGTCTATTTTTAAACAGTCTACAAACACATGCAGAAAAATGGGGGTTACCTGCACAAAGCTGTGCACGACTCCAATCCTTTCTCCTTCCTAGAAGCAGAAGTTGGGGTCCTCCTCCTGCCTCCTACTCCCCCCCCCCCACTGCCCACTGTGGCCTTATTTCCCACCCCTCCCACCTCGGGCCACCTGCCCCAGCTTCCCACCCCACCACAGCAGGGCGTCACCCATTCCAGCACTCCTCAGCACCCTAAACTTTAAGTAACTGCTCCATGTTGAACTCTCAGAACCAAGCAGAACTCACTGCAGCAGAGGTCCTCCCACCCCGGACACATTAGCATATTAACAGTGAGCCTCAGCCAGAGAGCATGGACTTTAGGGCCAGTGAGGCAGAGCCGAGGACAGGCAGGGACCACGGTCCTGTCGTCTGTGTGACTTGGGGCAAACTGTCACCTCTGGGCCTCAGCTTCCTCACCTTACACAGAAGGGGCTGCACCAGCCCCTTGTCCCAGCCCCCACGTCCCAGCCAACTCCTACCCACGCTGCCACTCTGCTCACTCCCACCCCCTTGGGGCTTGCTTCGAGCTGGGTGTGTCCCACAGCACCACCTGAGAAAATACAAGGGGAGCCGTGTGTAATTTCAAACATTCTAGTAGCCCCACCACAAAGTAAAACAGATGAAATTAATTTTAATCATAGATTTTTTAATCCAATATGTCCAAAACATCATTTTAACAAGCAATCGGTATAAAAAGTGAGCTTCTCTTTTCTTTAGTTCTAAGTCCATGAAAGTCCACGTGTACTGTACATGTGAAGAGCATCTCACTCTGGTCCAGCCACATTTCAGGGGCTCAAGAACCACTTGCGGTCATGGCCACCACCGGGCAGCACAGGTGCTGGGTTTTCTGACCTCGTTACACCCAGAGCTGAAGGCAGACAGGAGGGCAAGCCTGCATCCTGAGAAAAGTCAGAATCCTGGGGAAGTCCTAGTCTGGGCCCTTGTCCGGCTGAGAAGGCAGGTGGGTGGCATTCAGCACAGACACAGAGCAGAGAACTGGGAGGTTCTGCGGGCACGGCAGTGCTGCCTCACACTCAGGGCTCTCACAAAACAAGCCCCACACCCCTTATCAGCTGCATTGGTTCATTCCCATAAACACCTCCAGACACCTCCCTCCCCGGCAAGAAGCCAGGCAACAGGGACACAGCCCTTCCTGCTCAGGTCAAAACAGCAGGTTTGACACCTCATCCCCTGGGTGGACACGGAGGCCGAGAGGTCCAACCTCCTTCCAGCAGCCACACAAGTGGGTGGCGGTGGAGCAGGGCCCAAAGCTGAGCTCAAACATGGCAGTAGGCCGTGCCTCCCAGCTACAAAGAGCTCACAGGACCCCAAGGGACAGAAATTTTACAACCACGAGGCCATGGGGTCACTACAGCAGAAAGGATATGAAATGGGCTGGAAGCAGGGGACATTGAGGAGGGATTCCCAGGGGTAACCTCATGTGGTCCAGAAGGCTGTGGGGCTCACCAGGCATAAAGGGGAGGCTGAACACTCCCGAGGGGACAGCAGAGGTATATTGGGGTGCACATGTGTAAAGACAGAGGCCTGCATGGCGGGAGGTAGCGTGTGAGCCAACTGCAGTGCCTGGGAAGCCTCAACAGAACTGTCCTGGCAGTGAACAGGACTGGATTTTCATTTTAACAAGTCATTCTGAAGGAGATTGGAATGCTTCTCTGCCCCCCCCCCACCCCCAACCCTGGGGCTGTGATATTTAGGAAACTTGTCCCCCTGGGGACTTGTTTCCTCAAGAAGCTGACTTACTCCATCCATCTGACCTAGGAGTTGATGACTTTTGAAAACCAACCTATGGAAAGCTAAAGGCACCTGCTTTGTTCTCAGCTTCAGCAGACAGAGGTCCTGTGGCTGAAGGACAGGGTGGCCTTCAGCCCGGAAGTTCAGCCCCTGTCCTGGGGCAACAAGTGTGTTACATTTACCTGGGCAGAAACCTGCACAGAAACGTGGAGGATGCCCGCAGCCGGTGACGGCACTGACTTCCAAAGCCTGTTTGTCCTCTGCTCGTCCCTCCAGCTCCTGATCACCCAGTTCCATTTTTGGCTTCTCAGCCTCTAAGGCTGGCCCACTTTTCAAAGCCACATAAGCGGAAAAATATGTGTGTTACACAAGCAATAGATTCTAATTAGAGCAGGACACAGAGAGGGGGAGTCAGCCATGGTGCCCACCAGGTGCAGGCAGAACCTAGAGAAAAGGCCAGTGGACATAGTGCAGGGCTCCCCTGCAGTTCCAGGTGGGGGTGGAGAGAAGGCACACACACCAGGGGAACAGAGCAGGACCTGGAAGAGCACGCTGGGGCCCAGGAGCACTGGCTGGGTCACATTCCCTGCTGGGAGTAGCAGAGTGCACTCACTGAAACTCGCAGTCCCCAGGTGGCTCTGAGAGCCAGGCCCTGGTCTGAACAGACTGGAGCCCCAGCAGGTGCCAGCTCAAGTCGGGACCACAGGAAGAGTGCTCAGGGACCACCAGAGCAGGGGCAGGAGCAGGGGAGGGGGAGATGCCCTCTCTGTGCTGCTTGGCCCAGTGACAAGCCTCCTGGGGGTAGTTTTCCAAGGGGCTTTCCTGAGCTTCAGCTTCTTCAACACCCGGACCTGGGGTGGAATGTTCCATGGACGCACTGCATCCCCAAACCACGAGGGGCCCCTGGGTATGGGGGGTACTGATCCCAAGAACTTGTGCCCTCTGGCCCAGCCTTGTCTCTGTGTGACCTTCTGACACCAACCCACGTGGGGTGCTGAGGGGGAGCCTCCACGCAGCGAGAATGAGCTGCCTCCCCACCCAGGGCCCGGCCAGCAGCAGCAAAGGGGCCATGGACGGGCGGCTCTGATGCACGTAGTGGAGGGCGGAGGCCACAGAGAAGGCCACTCAGTCGAAGATGGGGGGCTGGTGGAGAGGAGAAAGCAGAGCCCCTCGGATTCGGTGGAACAGCTGAGCCACCCTGCAGAGCGAGGGCAGGGTGGACGAGGAGGCTGCAGAGAGAGAAAGCCGTCAGCCATTGGCAACCCTCCCTCCTCCTCCTCACACTCAGAGTGAGGACCCTCCTCCACACTCAGCCCACTTCCCACCACAGAAGCTCTGCAACCTGGGCACAGGCAGGATTTTTAAAGCTATTTGGATGCTTCATGTTATTAGCTCCTCCTCCCCTCCCCAGCAACAAAGAATTTCCCCTTCTCCAGGACATACTCTGGAATATACTTTCTTCACCTGGATTACAACAGCCTTAAATTTGCTGAGAAAAAGAATCAAATGTATTATGTTTTCATCTTTTTGATGTACGAAAACTGCTAATGTGGCTGTTTTTGGTGAGGTGGATTTGAGAAGAGACTTTCTGCTGCGTTCACTTCTGTATCTTGTATTTGGAGCCGTGTGACAGTGTCGCCTATTTTTATCGTAAGTTCATTACCCTGCAATAACAAAAAGTAAAATTCACCTCTTTGGAATTGAAGCTGAGTTGGTTTGGTTTTGAATATTTGAGTTACTGATTACTTTCTTTTATTTTTAAATAATTTATTTATTTAGAGAGTGAGAGGGAGAAACATCAGTGTGTGGGTGCCTGTCATGTGCCCTCTACTGGGGACTGGCCCACAACTCAGTCATGTGCCTTGACTGGGAATCAAACCCGTGACCCTTTAGTTCCCAGGCTGGCACCCAATCCACTGAGGCAAACCAACCAGGGCTGATTTTTTTTTCTTTCTTAAAGGAAAATGTTACTTTTAAAGAAAGCTACCTATGGGTTACCTTCTGTATATCCTTCCTGCTGGGTTCTAACTGCAGCCCGTCCACCACCCACTGGTTCTCCTTCCCCACAGGACCACTGCTGCCCCTCGGAGAGTCAGGATGGGGTGGGGGGAGGCAGACCCCCAGCCAGGACCCTTCTGAAGATGTCTGAGCAGCCCTACAAACAAGTCCAATGGCCCTTTGCCACACACTCTTAGGGACAAGTGTTTGAGACTAACAGGTTTATAAAAACCAAAAAATGTTTTTCTAAATTTTTACCAAGTCTCTGGTACAAAGTAGAAAGTCAGAGGGTAGCTATGAACAAATAGAAAACCACCCTCACTTACCTGACAGCTCACTAGTGATGCCTCCCTGAAGCAATCAGAGCTCCTTGGAGGGAATTCCTATTTGGTGTTCAGCGAAGGGGTCAAAGGGACATCCCTGAGCTATATTATACGAGAAAAGTTCACTGACTTAGAGAAAGGGAAAGGAGGGAGGGGGACAGAAATCCGAAGCTTAAACTGAGAACTGGCAGTTTTAAATCTGCCCATTTCTGTGACTATGAGCTAGTCACTTTTCTCTGGGGTCCTCCTATTTCTCAACCAGAAAGGAAAAAGAAAGTAAAGGGCCTGGAATGAGGGTTTCCACTTTTCCTCCAGCTTCGAAAATTACATAATTGTATCTAAGTCTACATTCACGAGAAGAGTGGAGATCAGATCACAACTCACACAGGAACCGAGAAGTAAGTGTGAACGCATGTGCACCCACCCCCTCTGTCCAGGGCTCCCTCTCCCGAGGCGTCCACCCTTCGGATGGCGGGGGGGGGGCGCTGCTCCCACAGAGCACCCAGCGAGCTCAGGTGTGCCTTCCCCACTGCGGGCAACACAGCACGAGACAGTGATAACGCTCTGCAGTGGGGAGTTGCTGGAATCAGCTGCAGAATCCTCTCTAAGGTGGAATATTATTTAGCCATTTAAAGCAATGTTTCAAAGAATATTTATGATGTGCAAAATCCACCTGGCTCCATGTAGCTCTATCCATAGAGACAGGCTGAGTACAGCCATTATAATAGCAGACTTACAGGTGATGTGTGTTCTTCCTTATACTCCTCCCTATTTTCCCCATTTTCTAAAAAGTACATGTATTTGACTTCCAACTTCCAATGTGTTAAATTGACAGCTTTAAAAAGGTTATGATAAGGCAGATTTTTGGACTCTGAGGTTCTATTCTGGGTTCACCCTGGATAAAGGAGAAGCTGGCATAGGTGACCGTGACTCAGAGTTATGTCCGGGCTCAGCAGGTGGACTGCTCCCAGGCACCCTGCCAGTCTCTCCTGGGGGCGAGCTGGCTCCTGCTCAGGCCCGGCAATCCCTCCTTACCAAGCCAGCCCCTGTCCACCGCCTGCTTGGAAGGGTGGGCAGAGACACAGGCTGTGACACTCACCTGGGTCAAACCTCACCAGCAGGAGGCAGAGGACCAGGGTGGCCAGGAGGCTCTTTTTGAAGGGCAGGGATGCAAAGTGGCTCAGCACAGAGGCCCACAGCCGGCGAAGCAGCATCAGCAGTGACAGGAGCTTGTGGGAGGTGCCTGGCAGGGAGACAGAGCATCACTGCAGAGTAAGTTGCGGGAACCACTTCCTTCTATCTGAGCTTTGAGCTTGGTTGTGAGATGAACCAAAGGTGACGAAACTGGTTTACTCCTGTGATCTGTTAAGTGGTTCCAAAGGACGGACTGAGCCACCCGAGTGTCATGTCCTTGAGGAAGGACTTCAACAGGCCACATCTGCTCAGCTAGGTAAACCCGGCCTATCAGGTGTTTTTCTAAATAGCCTCATTATTCTAGAGCATTCTTTCTGTTCTGGCCTAAGCTGCACGCAGAAAGCCACACAGAGCAACAGGTCTTGAGTGTCAGGTTAGCACACCTCAGCTGTGCCCATGTTTGTGCCAGCATGGAGAGGAGGGATAACGGTCCCCAGGCTGGCATGGCACAGGCAAGAGATCCAATAACAGGGCCCCAAGGAGAGGGTGACTTTCGGGAGAAAAATATCAAGGCCCTGAGACCCCATCTGCAGATTCTCCCTCCACTGCTGACATCAGAGGGTCTGGGCTTTTTAAGTAACTCCATGGGTTTCCTAGCCTGGGATTTTGGAGTCACACATACAAAGAACGGCTCCCGGGCATGCCACAACGGACCAAGCTCCAGGCAAGAGCCCACAGCTGCACCTGACAGACGCTGCAGAAGGCCGACACTCTACCTTCCTGGTTCAACTGCTGGTCTCCCTCAGAACCAGCGGGTCGGTGTCTCTGCTGGTGCCTTGCTGTGCGAATGGCCTGCAGGATGTCCAGCCTCTGCTGCTTGCTGAAGGCCACTGAGCCCACCAGTTCCTCTGCCTCAGATACGTGGCCCAGAGGCAGCAGCACACGCCACAGGTGCAGCTCCGCCAGGGCTGGGCACTCTGGGAGGCCCTGGTTGTCTGGGTCTCGGAGCCAGGCACGGGCTGCTCCCAGCACAGCTCCAGGGTCTTGCATCTTGCTGTATAAAAGAAGGCTACAGCCCCAAAAAGAACAGTCAGCGCTGCGCAGCAGGTTTGCTCTCAACACCAGCCCCCCTCTCCTCTCCAACTCCCGCCTGTACCCCCCAGCCCTGCCCTGTGGAAGGTGGGCAGAGCAACAGTTACGAGTTCCTAGAAGGTGCAAGCTCTCTCTGCTCTGACCCACCACCCTCTCATCCCACATCACACCTCCCAGTCCCACTGTCCTCTTACTCTTTCCTCTAACCCACTCCTAAATCCCCTTTCCTCGTTCTTTAGTGATGTTTTCAGGTCTGGGGAGGGGAAGAAATGGAAAGACTCAGATTTGGAGGGAAATTGTGGGGAAGGGGAGAGATACAGGTGGGGATGCAGGATAATGGGAACACCCTCATCTCTGGAAGATGCACTGAGTCACAGCAGGACCTACCATAGCTCCAGCACTTTGGGCGGCAGCTTTTCAGGGACCTGGTAATACTGAAGAACCCAGGCCAGTGCTTCTCGCCACCGGTCCATTTCCGCCAGGGCCTGGATCCCCACGACACAGAGGGAGCATTTCACCTCTAAGAGGCTGCCAGCAGAAAACCTGGTTCAGGTTGGGAGGTGGCTCCCCTCCATTCGCATTCACACCTCCACCTAGGGCTGCTCTTCCCCAGCTTCCAGCCTAGCAGCCATCACCTGCATCCTCCCCCTTCTCCCCCATCCTATTCAGGTGGGCCCCACTGAAAGAAAACTGCTAGTTCTCCTAGAAATTAGAAGTTCCTGAAACCTCCCAGAGGCAAAGGGGCTGTTGCCCAGCCAGGCATCGGGGTGCAGAGTAGCTGGAGCCAACACTATGCTCCGTAGAGAAATGCGCCTGGAGCCTGAGGGTGGGAACAGGAGGTGCACCTCGGGGCTACCAGTATCCCAACCTTCAGCATTCACTGCAACAAGCCCCCCAACCCCTAAAATCACAACCAGGGCTCCCCAGTTCTGGGGTCAGCATCTGACAGTGATCGAGTCCAACTTTACAACCCACATGGAAATGACGCCCTTAAGTCTCAGAAAAGGCCAGCACGTTAGAAAGGGCCATGGAAAACAAGGTTTTCTCCAGGTTGAATCTTTATTTTTAAGAAAGAAACACCAATTTGTTGTTTCACTCACTGATTAATTCAGTGGTTGATTCCTGTATGCGCTCTCACCCAGGACCGAACCCACAACCTTGGTGCATGGAGAGGACACTCTAACCAATCGAGCTACCCACCCAAGCCTTCCAGGTTGATTCTTTAACCCACTTCTTCAAGAGGATCAGAACCCCGTTCCCACTCCTCAGCCACGACCAGAAGTGAACAACTTGGGGACAGGGAATGTAACAAGGCAAGGACTGAGCCCGCCAACGGAGAGTCGAATACTTTAGATAAAGGACATCCTCCCATGGCGCCATCACACTGGGGCAAAGAGCTGGCCTCAAGGATCCCCGCTGCAGAACGGCTCCCCAGGCGCAGTCAGAGGATGACCGCCCGAATCCCCCCGCCCCTCCAGCGAGCCCCGCACGTACGCGCCCCCAGGCTCGCCTGCCAGGCCGCCGGCGCTCAGGCTCTGCGCCCCCCGCTCGCAGGTGCTCAGCGCCGCGGGGAAGTCCAGGTACACCACCAGGAGGTCTGCAGCTTCCTCCAGCAGAGCCGCGGCCGCCGCGGGCGACAAGGCGCCCTGGACGCCCCCCGGCGGGGCCGCGGGGGTCGGCGAGCTCCTCTTCATCGAGGCCCGACACCAGACCTGTCTGCACAGGTCCGGATGGCCGCCTCCGCGGAGCTCTAGGGCAGCCCGACTCCGTCTAGTTGAAGCAGGAGGTCCCCCGGCCCCGCCCACTGCCCTTCCCGGGCCAGAGCACTTGACTAGACAAAAGTGGCATCCGAGGCCAGAGCCGGGCTCCCCGACCTCGGGTATCCAAGTCACACCTCGGCGTGCAGAAGGGCTGCGCGCCCGGCCAGGAGAAAGTAGGATCCGGGTTTCTGCGTACCGACAGAACTGCTTACTCGAGGGCGAAACAACACAACAGCTTCCTTACTCGCGCGGCCTGGCGTCGCGCTTCCGGCGGCGCACGGGCTTCTGGGAGTTGAAGTTCTCTGGCTCTCGGCTGCGTAGCCCTCTTGATGCAGGTGGTCAGGTCGGGACTACAATCCCCAGCATGCGCGCGCCCCAGAACCTGGCGATTGTCTCGAGGGAACATAAACTGCTTCACGTCACGGAATGTGCTGAGAGGTGAGCTCGACCCGAGCCTAACCAGACTGGAGGACGGAGAAGGAACTGCACTTTCGTTTCAGTGCACCCGCAGGGGTCGCGAGGGGGGCTGACCGAGGAGGGCTTGGGCTCCCCTGCGCGCAATGTCCGCGCCCTAGGCCCCATGCTGCACGCTCCGAGAGCGTCTTGTTTAGTTCATCCCTCGGAACAGCCGTCGTCCCCGCGTCACGGAGATGGAGCTCATCTAAACAACTTGGTACAACCACACGGCTGGCGACTGAAGTGACGTCCGTCCGAGCTGCGGGACGCGGTGAAACCTGCGCTAGACGTGCAGGGTCAGCGCGGAGCCTCTGATGCGGTGTGCCTTGCAATTTGTAATGAAGTTTCAGAGCAGGCACTTCAAAAATGATAGCTTTAATAACAATTACTAAATAACTTCACACTGGTACGCAAGTCGCGTTTATGTATATTCTGGACTTCACCTAGGCTCTGCCCCGTCCGCCAATGTTATAACGAGTTCTCAGGGCTCTAATTTCTCCCCAGTTCCCTGCTTTTCGCACTTGCTCCTCCAGATTAGCCAAGCCAGGCCTGGGTAGGTGCCAGCTCACCTCACACAGGCCCTCCTTGTCACCAGGTTTAGATGTGCCTGTCTGCTGGGACTTTAGTACTTTGCAGAAGGTCCTCCTGAAAAGCAGAGGCAGAAACGTCAAATCCATCAGATCCTAAGGAGAGGGAAGCCTGGACCCATGACCAGTAAGAGCAGGCAGTTGGGACATCGCCGATTGCACACGTCCTTTTCCAACACCTGCCAGGTGCCAGGCCCTCTTCTAGGAACGCGGGTCCTCCAGTGAGCAGAAGAGACAGACACATCTGCCTTTGTGGAGCTTAGGTCACAGGGAAAGGAAACTATAGAGGGGACGAGCAAGTGAAATACAGCCATAGGTCAGATGGTAATAAATGCTGAAGATAAATAATCAGAATAGAGAAGAGAGACTGAGAAGGACAACAGTGGGGTGTGGGGTTGGTTTCTACCTTCCACTTTGTTTCCTAACAGTAAACCCAGGGCTGGGAGCAGCAGAGGAGAGAGAAAACGTCATCATGCTCATAACTGGGGAGTCACCATTCATTTTGGAACTCTGTCCTTGGGACCCACATATTTTCAGGGTCATTTGTGAGAAGCTTCCTTCTTCCTCACCCAGCAAATATCAGAGGTAAACAGGGAGCCCTGGAAAGTGAGGGTTGGTCTGAAACCGAAGTTGCCAAAGTATTTTATCAGGTCTGCCCCAGGCTTGACATGTGAATGAAAAGTGGCCACCCTCATGCTAACCTCAACCAGCTCAGGGGAAGCCTGCCTGGTAGCCTCCAAAGCTCAGACCTACAGTGACCACATGGGTTTGTCCGAGATGAAAACTTCTTAACCAACAGCAGGTCATGGCAGGTAGTCACATCCTAGGCTGGAATTTTCCCTGATAAAAGTGAATCTTTACCTTAACTGAGCCTGTCTGTTGACTTTTTGCCTCTATGATAACACAGCTTAGGAATGTCAGAATGATTTCCCTTTTCCGGATGCCTCAGGACATAGGCACCGCACCGAGGCAGACCACGAATCTCACTGTTACTGTCGTTGTGTTAATAGTCGACTATTAACTCTCCTGTGCCCACCCGTGTGAAAGAAGCGTGTGTCTATCATTTTACCTTTTCATACAATCCGAGTCATTTCCTCACTTTGCTTTCTTCTCCCTCCCTAATCTGTCACCAAAGGATTTCATGTAACTCCCTTACACCTCTTCTTTTGATTGCCCAGTATAAAATAAGGCACAAAACTTACTTTTCCGGAGCATTTTCTCATTATGTTGAGGTTTTACTTCCCAGCAATTGTGATCAGTTTGGCTCAAATAAACTCAAATAAAAATTCTTATAGGTTTGGACGTCTGTTCCGCTGACAGACCACAGATGATGAAGACTGTTAGTAATAACATACTTATTGGACTGAAAAAAAGTGCTTCTCGGGACTTGGTTTCCAAGTCTTCCCTGAAAAGTCTGGAAAGCAGCAGGAGCACCAGAAGCCAGACCTCGGCATGTGGAGCAGTCTCCACCTCCAGGAGCCCTGTGAAAGGCTGTGTGTCCCTAGAAGACACCCCCTTCCTTCCTTCCTAACAAGAAATGTCTTGCTGTCCCCATTTTTCCAGGAGGGGGCAGCACAACCTTAGAAGAAGCAGACCTGCTAGAAGTGAATTTGCCATTTAGTGGCACCATAGCAGCCAAAATGAGGTCACGATATTTAAGGGGTGGGTGGGGTGCTAAAAATATGATTGTGTTCTGCTTCTGTGTTTCAACCATCTTTCGACAATGCAGGGCTTCGTGGTAGTCTATGTGTCGCTACTTAACCTTTAGCACTGTGATGCCCCCAACTGAGCCATCCCTTCACATGCATCCCTTCACATTCATATTTGTCCTTGCATCAGGCAGGGTGCTCAGTGCATCAGTCTGTCACCTTCACCTGTGGACGTGGATTTTCTCAGCCTACTTTGAACACACAAGGTATCAGTGTTTTTGTAGCAGATAGAGCGCCAGACAGGAGGTTGAACTACACCACTTAAAATTCTGTTTCCTTTGGTGATTAAGCCAGGTGACTCCTGGAAAGTCACCAAACTCCTTCGAGCCTGTTTTCTCACCTGAAGACACAGGGTGACTGTGAGGATCAGAAGAGACCATCTAACAACCCAGTGAACTCTAAATCACTGGAATATTTCAGGCTAGTCTATGGTGAGATGGTATAATATATGGTGAAATGAGTAAGGATAAGAAAGAATCTCATTCCACCTACAAGTTCTGTAATTTTACTTTCTGACCTGGAATCTAACTCTTGACTCTTCCTTGCAAAGATTGGAAGCACCCACATCTGTGGCCAGCCCAGCCTCTCCTGACCTCCCCAACCTGGTGCTACATTTCTTGACAATAGACAGCATCCCTACCTGCCCCTGTCAGCACATCTCAGCCAATCAGAGCCCCTTAGTACAGGGACGTTGATGGTAAAGGTCTGAGTGCAAGAGGATCATGTCCAGAGTGGACCTTTGGCCAGAAGCAAGCCAGAGAGATAAATACTGGCAGGGTGGAGACGATGTGTTTCCCAGGTGGCCACAGGGTGTGCCTCTCTCATGCCAGACCTTCATTGGTTAGATGGCATTTTTATGGCTCTCTTTAAAAGCCTGAACTTGTCATCCAGAGCAGAACTCAATTGTCCCTGCTCGCTCCTTTGCATGTAGACACAGCAGAATTCTCACCTGTCTTGTGTCTAAGAATAAATCTTCATAATCTTACTTATTCCATATAGTGCTTTACAGCGATAATAATGATGGCTTAATTTACACAGTACTGTATTAACTATGTGCTTGGTGCTGTTCTGAGTACTTGACACTTATCTACCATCAACAGCCTGGGGACAAGAGTTTGATGGTCATTCTTATTTTGTCAAAGAAGAAACCATGGCTCAGAGAGGCTCCATGACTTTCCCAGCACATGGCTGGGACTTAAACCCAGGCGGTGCAGGCCCAGCATCTTCCTCCTTAACTAACGCCTCACACTGGCTCTGCAGCTTTCACTTACTCTGTCTGAGTCTGACAGCAAAACAGTGAGCAAGGTCACATGGGTGGCAGGGGGGAGAAATGTTGGAATTTCCAGAAATTTTAATTTTCTACCTTATCCAGGTGATGAAAGTCAAAAACGAAAGTTCGGCGAGCACTCAGAGAAGCAAAGGGGCAGGCCTGCAGACTGTCCTGGCCACCCTGGCAGCGGCAGTCAGCCCTAACATGGCATATTTTACTCAATTTCAGCAAGTGCAGCAACTACACAAATCTTTGCCCAGCACTGTCCCATGTGGCCAGTGCCTAAAAGAAATCAAGTAACAAGTCTAAAATAAGTCAGAGGAGCTGCCGTTTGCCTTTGCATTGGCTCTTGTTCCTATTCTCAGACCATGAGGTCAATGGCACTGTGGTGCTCCCACCCTAGCCCAGCACCCACTGCCGACTGAACTCTGACCACACTCAGCGTTTGTCTGTCCTGGAGCAAAAGCAGAATGATGTCAGATGGAAGAGTAACGAGCAAAGTGGGGCAAACAGGCACCTCAGCCTGTATTTTAACCCATGACAGTTGAATTCATTTCAAAAATTGTTAAGGACTGTTCGGCCAAGCCCCGGTCTATTGGCTTTTCCCTCATCAAATTGGTCTGCTCGGGGCAGGGATGGCGGGGAGGACCCTTCCTGGGATTCCCACAGCACAACCCTAGGAGGCGCCCTTCTCGCAGAATCTTTGTAGGTGGCACATACATGGCAGCTCAGTTTTTTTCTGGGGACAGTCTCAGTGGTTCGTGGCAGCTGGGAGGAACCAGCTCTGCTGGCCTCTGGTCCTCCTTGGGGATGGGCCCCCACCCAGCAAGCTGCCGTCAAGCTTGTGGGGACTTGCCTGTGGGAAGTTCTCTGGGGTGAAGATTGTTGTGAAGGGTGAGGCACACTGTCACCGTCCCTTCTACGTTGTGTCCTTCTGGGAAGGAAGCTTGTCCTTTGTGTGTCTGGTTCTAAACTGGTGAGATAGTGGAAGTAGAGCCCAGGTCACTTGCCTTCCCTTGCCCTGGTCCCTCACGACACAAGGTGACTACCTGGACAGGTGAATGAGTGGGTGCATTCCCCTCTCTGACAGCCAGAGTCTAAGGGATCGGGAAGAATGGAGGTGGAAAAACACGAATCCCGTTACCATAGGAAACAAGGCAGTTCATGGGGACACAGGCTGCAATTGAAACCACCCTGTTATTACAGCCTGCGGCATAAACAGCTGAAAGTTTGTCTCTGACTCTCT